AAGAAATATAATCTATGACATATTTTATTACACTATCGATATGCATTAAAATATCACTACTATACATTAAGAAATTGACAGCCACAGTGCAAAAAACACCTGTATTATAAATTCCTCCTCACAACTTGAAAAATCTGCCAAGAACAATATAAACCATATATTCACACTACAAGAACCTTAAAGTCACACACTATCCTCCGAAATATATTTTTTTTAATTCCGAAAACCACTTTTTGATGCATTTTTTGCACTTCGTTTACTCACTTAAGCACGATATCGTAATTTTACGATTTATACCACTTAGACGAAATCACTACCACTGGATACCTTAAAGGTATCGCTGATAGTAAACATAACGTATAGAAGGACGGGCAAGATTTTTATCCGTCACTTGAAAGATCATCGTTCCTCTACTACTATGACAGAAGACAAATTCGGTTAAACTTGCGTGTCACAAATGTACAATACACTCTATTGGGACAGTCTTTAAACAGACAAAAATCACCAATAAGGATGACAACATATTGTTATGTTGAGTGCTATCATGTACTATGATACTATCTGGCAACCTTTCAAAAACTGTTCGCAATTAAACGCTTACGGAGGTTTATCAATGTCAATAGCCTATTAAAATTCATTGTCAAAAGAAAAAAAAAATTGTCTTATTTTAGAATTTAGAAGACACTGTGACACTGTTAAGAATACAAATGGGGACACACAAATCTTTGACGAGCAACTTAGTATGTTTCTTTCTCTACAAGAACCAATCATAAATTATTACTTAATACAGGCTTGTTAGCAGTTCTTATAATTCAACCAGCTAACTACATGTAATAAAACAACCTTTATTTCTTATTATATCATTTTAATTAAATATCAGCTGTTTTTTAGAACAAAGTAACACAAGCCCTATATGAAAATTCTATATTTCAATTAAAACTGTAAAAACTTTTGATTCCCACAATGATACTTCATTCTACAAATAAAATAGTGCATCAATAAGCATTTAAATTAACATGTAAGATATCAGATGTGAAATATCTTTGGCAAGATAATAAAGATGAGAATTTTTTCATTATTTTTATTGTAAGTAATTATAGAACATATGGAGACCAGATTACATATAAGCACTGAATGTGGGTACAACTTCAGAAAAACATTCAAGCAAAAGTTGGCAAAGAAGTATTTCCAGATTTTGCCTTTTCTTTGTACTTTTTCCTTCATTAATTAATAAAATTTTCCAACAAATTACGTTGAATATAATATATTTCATGGAAATGAAGCAGATATCAATTAACCTATATCAAAATAAATATAACCATTTAGATGCCAAACAATTTAGCATACATAAACTCATTACAACTTCTCTATATGGACCATTAACTAAAATTTATCTTATTTTACCAACATTTGTTTCTGAACAAGTTCAAATATACATGTATATAAGAAGAATATGAGAATTGGAAATCAAGCATAAGATTTTTATGATTCTATACTAGCAACATTAACTAATGCCGATGTCTACCTGTCCCTCTGACCAGACTCTATACAGTTTGTAGCTTAAAAATACATATTTAACCAAAAGCCCTCAAGTTCCAAATTCTAAGTTGGACCAGTTTATTATCAAAATTTTGCTGGGTAATTGTTTAGACACGCATCGCAATAATTAATCCCCTCCTTAAAACCTTTGAGGGGCACAGCACTAACACCATCTATGTTCTATATAGGACCCAATACTACATTATATTTCTATGTCGGGTCACACAGTACCTGTTCGTAGTGTTGTAAAAAGTCATAAAAAACGAAGATTCTGACATAAATAATACACTACTAAAATGTAATGTTTTGACAGGCTCATATTGAAAGCTTATAGCAACGCCGCCTCGGGCCTTTAAGATGGTGACAATATTTATCTTTATAAAATACGCATATTTAAACGACATATGAGATAATGAATACTTGATATAAAATGTATATGTTTATTAAAGAGTGCAAAGTCTCATATTCAAGATGAAGACCGAAAAAAGATGAATTCTAGATTTTATCTCTGAAATTATTGCTTAAATTACGGATGAAATAGTAAGATAGATAAAAAACTAGGATGCATAAAAAAGTTGCTAAATAATTAAGTTCATCTCCCTCAATAAACAGTTATTCAAGTTTTAAATAATATATTTCAATAACCTTCTGAATATTTATATGTGGTCTAACTCATCAATTTGTATTCAAATATAAAACAAAATGGATTAACACCACAGAAGAAAACATTTAAATATCAATAAATTCGAGTTAACACAATGTACATGTACACATGTCTTTGGCCTTGACATATATCTTAAGTTATCTTGTTCGAAACATTAAATCTAAAATGCCCATCGCTTTTGTTTTGCAGTTATCATGGTCGTGTCCTGAAGGTAAAAACAGCTTTCATCATTAATACCAAATTTTCTTCATAAAAATCTACATGAAATTGTTTCCAAAATATTTTGTAGGCCGTGACTTAGAGATGATGATGTACAATCTAGTTCGCTAGTAAGAAGGTATACCAGAGTACAAGTAAATATATATGAACCTGATAATGTTTATGATGAAAACTATTAAAATCGACAAATAAGTGGCCAAATCCATCTAGAATGTGGACCTACATATTATAAAAACTTTAACCCAACATTAAGTTTATCAGCTAATTTTTTTGATAAAACTCGTTACTGATTTCATCTACTGTAGTCTCCCTGAATGTATTCTGCCCTGTATAAACAAATCAGTCAAGTTCAAATTAGAAATGAAAACCACTCTGATAAGCCCCTCTATTACTTAAAGCCTCTTGTATGACCAATATGTCAATTGAAATTTAATTTATATTCATTTTCAAAGTATGTTTGCACAGTTTACTGATATGAAATGGCCCAATTTTAAACTTATTAGATGGACAACTGATTCTATACCATTAATTGAAAGATTTCAGTGATACTGATAACTTTATGCCCCTTTACGTCAAAACTGGTCAAATGTAAGGGAAGTAAATCTGTTATACAAATGCCTGACTGGTTCATGTTATTTTTTAGTGTATCCAGAGTAGTCCCCCTTGTGAAAATTGGTAAACACACTAACCTTTCTCTTCACATAGAGAAGAAGTAGTGGAACTGAAAATCCATATGTTTTACATCCAGATCTTATCATATCTGACCATTTGTTTTCAAATTAAATGTCTGCACACTCTTCATATCCTTGTTCATAATATTGACACTTTAAAACAAGTTTTTACTTTCGTTTTGTACACTGGTTTATTGATATCATGCATATAATTATCTATGACATATGACCTGAGTGTTGTGTAAAGTCTGGTCTGATTACATGTAATTGGTCAATATAATATAACTCCAAGCTATTAACCTTTATGAAGACATTTAAATTAAGTCAATACACTTCAAAATCAACATTCTAACCCTTCTGGCAAAATAATAAACAGGCACTAAATCATAAAAACACAGCACAGCTCAGAAGAACAGGTCAGCACATATATACATGTATGGTATATTAATGTATATTAACATGTTATGTGACAATAAACTCTATATTCCTTTTACACTTTCAATGTACATGTACATTTTAAAGTTCCCTTATTAAAGTTCCCCTTGCTAAGAAGCTAGGCACACATATGTAAACACTCCATTACACACTTGATGCGATCGAGGAAATTATACTAAATAATTGTCAAGTATATGTATTCAAAGAAAAAACGGCATACACAAGGTTTTTAATATGCGCGCAATATTTGCACTTGCATTGTAATAGATTAGCAGATGACAAAAAATTAATATTTCATCTAGTCTGTATTGATTATACTTCATAAAGTTGTTGTTTTAAAATTTTGTTAAATAATTTTGACCTTCCACACTTTAATATGTACATGTACTTAACTTCCAGGAGATCTGCAGGTATGTGACATAATAATGATGCTGCTAAGAAACAGACTGCAACATAACTCACAGTGTATTTACATAACTGTGCAGTTTGATTAGAAATCAAAAACAGTCATCAAACTCATCCTAAAAATGTACTAACAATCTTTTAAAAGGTCTGTTGCTTTTTTTAAATTCCTAATTGCAGAGTATAACCTACAAGCCATTCTGTATTTTATTTTGAATGCTGTAACTTTTGAAAATAAAAGTTATGTGTAGAATATACATGAGCATGAAGCAGGTTGTTATTCAAGATCAAGGTAATGTATTATACTTTTCCAATTGAAACATACAAAACGGAAACTTTCTAAATAATTATTTATTTCTTGTCTTTAGGGTCATTTCACTCCATTAACATTAATTCTGAAGATTTAAAGAGGTTTGCGGGCATAGGCTGTCTGGAATACAGCCGATTAACACGCTCAAACTGTCCCTCTACAGCTTTCACTTACTGCAATTTGTTGTCATTTGAACTAAAAGAAATCTCACTTACTTAAGATCACAACAAAGTTTTTGTTTTCTAAACAAATTTGACACATTTTTAAAGTCATATCTCAGCAGTTGATTCACTTAACCTGCTGTCTGGGATATTTACAACTAATTACTCATTTCTCTCCAATTCACTGACTACTTCTGAATCAGCAGTAAAAGACAAATATTACCATTAGACTCAATGCCGAAATCAATTGTCACACAAAAAAATATGCCTCACCCTAGGATCAAACTAGCAACTCATGGATCACCAATCTAATGCTCTCCCTATTAAGCCAAGGGCACCATAAAACTTGGTGGAAGGAAGAAGGCACCTTACTACACAACACATTAAAACATGAGAAAACAAGTACTAGATTACACTAGAACTGGCCAGATACCAAGTTTCTGGCATTTAATATCATTCAATATGCACTCGTTCATCACAAATTTATCAATTGCTATTGTCTAAATAACTTTTACCTAGGCTCATATCAAATACATGCATTAACATATTAAAAGAAAATTGTAATACTGCGCAAAGGAAGTACTGTTAATGTTACATACCTGAAAAGTTGGTGTTAAAATATCATCATCTATGAGGGTATCACCAAGACCATCTTCACTCTCTCTCCAAGCAGATTTAAGACCTGGTATTCTTACACCTGGTACACTGCTTAGTTCACCAAAGTTAATAGTTGCTAGAGAGCTGAGTGACAAATCGAAAGTTTCCTCCCTTAATGCACCAACCGATTCAGCTATCACATTATCTTGTGCAAACAAAGGTTCTTTGGTACTGCCATACCTATTAAATTTCAGTTCCGAAGCAGATTTTTCTATATTTTTATACATTTCACTAGACTGACTAATTCCTCTATGCATTTCTTTACTCTTAAGTTCCAATTGTCTAGCATGAGCTTCACTTTGAGAATAGCTTTCATATCTACTGCTGTAAGAAACAACTGGTTCATCAAATGCTGATTTCGTTATTTTCAGTGTTTCATCCGTTTCTTCATCTGCAAGATATTCTTCGCTTTCTTCATCAGTTTTTAATCCATTTTGCTCACTGCTGATATCTATTTCACTAGTAATAGTGCTTTCTTGATCAGTTTCCATACCATCTCCTGCATACAGAGGATTTTCAGACCTACAGCTAAACATTACATCTTCGTCAGCATATAATCTCTTGCCAATTATGTTTGACATATGTTCTCTTATTTTACTTCTAATCATACCTTCATTAAGATTCTGTCTAGATGACGACCCATATTTCGAGTAGTCTTTGGTAAATGATCTTGGAGATTCATAGCCATCAGAAAACCTTGTTCTTGTTTCCAACATTTCCATGCTTCTTGTAGTCCTTTCTGACATTTTCCGTCGCATAGTCTTAGAAATAACAATGGCACCAGGAGAACGCCTTGTGGAGGACCTGTACTCGTCTGAATAATGTGGAATAAATATATCATGACTAGCTGATTCCATTGACTTCCTCCTCTCAGAAAGTCTTGCAAGCAGTTCTTTTCTTTCCCTTTCCATATATCTATCATACACACTGATTCTCTCCACTGTTGGTGCATGGAAAGTCCTGTATGGACTAGAGTCAGCACTCACACTTCTTCTGTAGGCCATCTTTGTATCTGGTTGTTCACCATTAAATGTTACACTTCTTTTATGAAGAGCATCATCTTGTGAATAGTGCTTAATTCTTAATTCATTTGGTCTTATGACTCTTCTTCTGGTTACATAACTGTCAGCTTCATTTGCTAAAGTTTCTATTTGTTTGACAACAACCGTACTTTCAGGTGATTTCTCTTTTAGAAGTTTGTAGGCATTTTCTGTTTCACTGCAAAAAGTAGTATTAGTAACAAAGTTAGCTTTGGCAGTAAAGGTTTTTGAGCTAGTTACTAATGTTATTTTCTCCCCATCATAACATTTCTTCTGAACAGTTTTACCAACATTTTCACTTCCATTCTGTAAAGTTCTTACCCTCCACTCAACCTCATCACCATCTGTGTCATTATTTAATAACTTACATTTTTCAATTTCGTCATCAGCAATTCCATTTCTAATAATTTCTGTTTTTGAAGACAGCTTTTCAGTAAAATTTAATTCAGTTTTGTTCCTCCCATTGATATCATCAGATAAAACTTTTGATTTTTGCACCTTTTCTTTTGATTCAGTCAATACTGCTTTGCTTTGTGACACACTTTTAACATCTACCTCATTAGATAAATGTTTGGATTTTGATTCCTGGATGTTCCCAGGTTTGAGTGATGAAGTCAATGAATCATTTGGTGTTAATTTTACTGACTTTAATGACTTTTCCTTCCACTCATCATGAAAAGATGTTTTAAACACATTACTTGAATCTCCAGATTCACATATAGTCTCCTCAATATCTCTATTCAGACCTGCTGTTTGGAGACTTGTTGTTATTAACGTAGATTGTGATGAAGTCTGACAACTTCCCGGAGGCGATGGCGATTTTGATTTTCTCTTCGATGCTGTCCTACTGTCATGTAGTTTGTTTGATATAAGATATCCGTTGTTTTGTTTCGGTTGCCCCTGTTTTGATAAGAATCCTTCTGATTTCAATGCAATACCACTTTCAAAACTGTTTTCTCCTTTTCTGTTACTCACATTTTCACTATTTACTCCTAAAACTTTCTTTGATTCTAAACTAATTCTACTTTTCTGTAAATTATTGCCTGTTGCAGTAATTCTGCATTGTGAGATACAGTTTTCACTATCAATGTCCCCATTTGCGTCTGCATTACATCTGCTATGTTTATCTTCATGTAGGTTACGACTGTTTTTGGCAGAATATCCACCGTCCTTAACAGATCCTTTATAGATTTTTCTTGGTTTGTTATACCACTGAGAAATCGCCCGCCACCATATATGAATCCATTTTAGCATAAGCCATACTATAACCAATAAGTCCAGCATTGTAACTAACAGTCTGGCAGCTTCTTAATAATATATCACGCTAATTTACTTTCAATAATTACCCGTTCAAAGACAAACTTATAGCCACAAAATATGCATAATAGTCCAGAAATGCATTTTCTCTTATAATATAATAACATCACACAACTTCTATTTTCAATTATTATTCATAGCTTGTCAATGCATCGTTAGCAGACGACAACTTTGTAATTCTCTATGTCTGTCAAAATCCAGGAAAAAAATATGTTGCAATTCCGCCAATGATGTTTGACAGTATAGGTTTTGAAATGACCTTGCGATTGTTCAATAGACGTAAATGTCAATTTTTCACATTTGTATTTAAATTTTCAATATTTATCATTGTAATTACAGTACATTAAAGCTCTTCTATAAACTTCCTACAGATTAAGATCTGTTCAATTATTTGTCAATTTGTTACGGAAACATTACTTAATACTAACTTCTCATTTCTAGATTTGAAAATTAAATTATTTCTAAACTTTCGTTTTTCACGTCTGCTGCAAAAATAATCTCTGATCATAATCACAATGCATATAAGGAAAAGATAAATAACTTGAACTATATTTTTCCTCTAAATAATCACATGATAAGGAACATCATGCTTTTCAATGGCGGCTAAAAAAAATTCAAACTGATGTAAATACAAATGTTTCCCCTTTAGGCTATTGCAATTATCGAGACTTTGAAAGTAAAATTACACCTGATAAGATAGTTTTGTGATATAATAACATGTATAAAGTCACTCTATGCTAACATAATGACAGTGTCCATTCAAACATGTTAATGTAAATTGTAAATGTATCTGGTATCAGTAAATTCTTTAAATTTATTTCTCAATTGTTTAAATATTTAACATTTAAACAGGATTAAAACAACAAATTCAAGTTTGTTTGTTAGTTGTTTTCTATGAGGGGAAAGGTTGTAAATAGGATTCTTAAAGTTTGAAATACAGCGAAAGTGGAAAATTTGGTGTACTTTTGATATCAGAGATATTTAGAGAAGGGGGTGAGGGGGGGGGGGTTGTTTTTTTAATCAATTATTTGATATAAAATGCTAATAACAATTTGTTCAAAGTCATCTGGGAGTAACAGTGTTGAGGAGAACAGCATGTGTCAGAATCATGTCTATAGAACAAGTCTGTTAAGTACATTAGAATGTTAAGAGAAATATTTGTTCAACTGTTCACCATGGGAGCAGACTTAGAGAGAGACTATTATTTCCTCCAATCATGAAAACCTTAACTAACAAACATCCATATATTCTGATACAAGCATTGACTTAGACTAGCAAATAAGGTGCTAATTTAGCAAGTTGACCTCAGATCTGATGATAGAAATCAATATAAATTACCTGTCAGATAAAATCATGTATTTCTTCAAGTCTAAAATGATGATTGTTTTAAACTAATGTTTCATAATATGTATGGTTAATATCCCATTTAAATCCCACTTTCTAATCAGTGTTAAATAAACTAACCCATACCCACTCCCCCATCCCCATATAATTATTCTGTACAGCATATAATTATATCACCCCCTTCAAAAATGGAAGCCTTGGGGAAACATAGAACAAAGAAAATATTTATTAAAAAGTTAAGTAATAATCCTACATCTAAAATATTCAACAAAAATTTACAATGAATATATAAATCCAAAAATCTTTAAATAAAAACTAAAAAAATAAGGTAAAAAATATTCAAAAACTTCTCTGTCCTTACTCCATATAAGTCCGAAAAATATAAACACAACCAAAGGCAAACTCTTTCAAAATCGAAAACAAGTTTTACTCCACTTTGAATTTGAATAAGACACAACTTCCCCACCCATTTCACACTACTTTCCCCCTCATATGATGTAACACTCATTCATAAAAAAACAGATTTCCCAGTTCAAGGTGTATTGATCTGACGTAAGTGTTTTGGCATCAGTGCAGAAACTTATATTCCTTTTCTAAAAATCCTCTCATCTCATAACAGCAGACGCAAAAAAGCAAACATATTGAAAACCTATCTATCTATACACCTCATTGTAACAATAGTCTTTTGGAGCTCCATATGTTAATTTTTCTTACTTTTATCCATCATAAAATATTTATTAGCATTCACATCTACAATATTTACACCTCTATGTTACTCATCTTTCCCAATTTTCAAGGTCTTTATACCAAACGCATCAATATTTGTGTAAACATCAAATGCACACATGATTTACATATTAAAGCATATAATGATTTATATCTGACCATGAAACATAAAACACATATAATATTGTATCCCTAGGGAAATACTTAATGCTGCCCTTTAGTAACGTCACATACTTGATTTTATATAACATATGAGAAAAATAGCTGGACCCTTAAAAGTGGACTTGCCTTGCTTTCAAGGACTTGGAAAAGTTCATATTAATTTTCAAGGGATTTTAGAATTAAAATATGGTACTAAAATTCAGCACCTGGTCAGACTGCATGGACATACAGACAAACATGGCATAGTGCCGAAATTGCGATATTGCGGCTGCCACTCAAAGGGTTAATATTCATCAAGATTTACAAACGAGACATATAAATCAAGTATCTGATAAAATATTCTCGCAGAAACAATGTGCAGCCTTAACATTGTCTACAAAATATTGATAAATACGTTTTCTGGAAACCATCCTTATAATCTTAGACCAACGCAAATACTTGTCCAGAAATAAACAAAACGTGTTCTGTCTGTCCTAAAATTATTCATTTTCTGATGTAACAATACATCTTAAAGTCACTTGAACATAAATACTACATGTACATAATATATGTGCATTATATATTAAACATATATCCACTTGACAGCTCCTCCCCTACTCTTAAAGCATCCCCACCCCACCCACTTTTAATTAAAAGTGATATTATATTTTCACTTAACATTCTCCTAATAAGTTTTTTTTTTATTTTGTTTCTTGCTGTTGTTGTTTTTTTTTATCCATTTCATTTATGTATTTGGCCATCAATGTAATTTTTGTGTATTGAATGAATGACTCATGGAAAAATATTTATAGACTGATACCAACATCTCTTACATTAGCTTAAGTGATAGGCAATTAATTTAGGTAAGTATTTTATCTACTTACAAAGCTATGAATGTAAGAATTTCAGCATATGCTATTACTCTCATAATATTATCTCTTCTAAATATATTCCATTTAAAGTACAACTTGACAAATAATTGAACTTTTCAATTTGAGAGCATTACAATATTTGTGTTCATAAATAATATATTTCCACTAAATACTTATACTTCAGCAAAAACTGTACCAATGTAAGTATTATATATATCACATTGTACATGTATATCTCCAGCTGTCTTTTGGGTAATAAATCCGAACTATTAGTAATGATTGTCTAATATTTCCCGGACTATATTTGTCTTCATAAATAATGTCAATAAAGACACAGAAGGTCATCCAGTAATTATTATATTACAAATATATAAACATTATAAATGTATCACCAGCATATGTTTTCCAACAACTATTCTAACATCACACATTTATTATATATACATGCACAAATACTTCCTCTAATGATTTCTATCCCTTTTCAATTCATAAGAACATTTTCTCAACACTACAATACCGATTTAACACTTTTTTCTTCCTGTTATCTCCTTCATTTAATATATTCTTCAGCATTCACACCACGCGAAAAAAACAATGAAACTGTTTTATATTGAATTATCTAAAGTGCAGACACTCTTAAAACCCTGTAAGTTTTATCTATAATTAACACAACGACTTTATCCTTAAACAAAACATAAGCTATTTAGCCTGTGACACAATGTTTCAACGACCTTGAACTTTTTTTTGAATTTATATATTGGAATTACTTATGCATGATAATTGTATTAACACAAAACGAAAATTACATTTTGGTCAGGGCTGGATGGTTTTTCGCAAATGCACATTTTGCCGCATATCTAAAAGCCTACTCAAGTATAAATACTTAGAATCTTGCATTTGTTTTATAGTATTGTACATGTACTTCAAAAGAAACGTTGAATAAATATTTCCATTTGTTCTACACACATTATACATGTATAATAATGTTATGATAATGAATAAAACATGATTCTTAGTTCATGCAAGACACTGTAGTCTTCTGTAATCTATTATATACACAATTTGACCTTCAAGTCTGATTTCTCACATTTTCTCAAAGTATCTAAACAATGCAACACAATCCAACAGAAATTTCTAGCAAATCAGATTTCCGATTAAAAATATCAATTTCAATTTCCGAAATGTTTAACGTTTAAGATCGAACTTGCCAAATCCGAATCATGTTATATTCCAACCCTCCAGAGAATACAATGAATATAAATGTAAGCTGCATCGCTTTGTCATGAACAAATTTCAGGCAAAAAAGCGGTTTCGAGACGGTATTACGCAATATTTTCAAAATCAATATGTCCTCCGAGTGTGTGTGCCTGTCGTCTTTGACCAAATTACTGGCATGTATTCATCATTGAGAAAGTAATTCCATCACATCTTTTACGAGATTGAATATTTCAATTTTCTAACTGAACTTTATTGTATTTCAAACTTGATCTCTACAACAACTTTCATTTATTTGATTATCTCATTCAATGTACATTCAGTTTCAAAACAATTCATTCAAAAATTTATTGAAAGAAATACACCATACTTTATTTCATTATGATAGTCTGTCCAAATTTAAGTACTTCCAAACAGTTTTAATTGTTCACCATAGGTTTATAGGCTTATGTCTACAGGGCTATGAGGGTTCCAGTTTTGGACACATTTAAATAAGAACACGAAGCTTCCATGGTTACTGTTTTAAATAAATGTTACATGTGGAGAAGTTGGTGGTTACATGAGGAAAATAATCAGATCAGTATTGGTAAAAATGTAAGCTTATTGCCCCGCTAGTATATACTATTTAAACTGATAGCAAACAAAAACAAAACAAACAGTTCACAATGCCATAACATCATCATATACTGACTTATGAATAATTTAACAATCATAAATTGTAATAAAGGACGTAGTAAAACATTCATTGAACAATTCAACAAATTACAGGAAGGATCATTTTGTTTATGTCAATACTATTGTTCCTTTTTTTATGTTCATGTCAACCATACCATAAACTATAGACACCCTGTTATATGCAGTAATATTCAAGTTAAGACAATATTTAGTATGTTTGTTTACTTCGTGTAAACGCTTTTAATATTTCTTTCAAAATTAAGACAATCAGGTTGTAATATGAAATTGTTTACAGGCATGTCAACATTTTAGTGTCTTACTTGTGAAGCAGGAGCCCTTCCCCCACAGCCCGAGATATACCACAGTGCTGAGTGAGATCCCTTCCCTAACATGTGACAGAAAACTGGAAAATTTGGACCCAGAGCAGTGAAGGGTATACTTGATATATACTATGTACTATGTATATATCATACAAAGATTAGGGACCTCGAGTGTGCTCAAAAAGAGCATGA